AGCTTTACCAAAACTTGTGTGGATTCCACCTGGCCTTCTCAAGGGGTAAGCGATCGATTGGAAACGTTAGAACCGTAAGCGAGTAAAAATCATTCTATTTTCAATTTCTAGCTAAGATCCCATAAGGGAGCATAACAGTACTTTTACTTTTCCGGCGCTATTGCAATATACGAGGGATTCTCCAGGAGTGAGCCTAGAAAAGGGCAGGGACACCGGTCCTCCATACTTAGGATTTCGTCCCGTTTTAAAAAAGAACATTTTACGCGTTTTAAATGCATTGTCACCACAATGCCCCGTATCTTGTGATAGCGCTCTCTTTCTGAAATTCGCAAACGCTTTCAAGCACAGCTATTAGGCCGCGTTCATAGTTCGCGACTCGGGAGATTAGGATAGTAGGATATTAGGATAGTAGTAGAGTAGGAGATTGCGCTGACAAGATTGGATACGTATCGATTGAAATCGCTGGAGAGTAGTAGATTGGGCGACTTCAAGCGAATAGATCAATACATATCTAATCTTGTCAGCGCACTATCCTAATCTACTACTATCCTAATCTCCTACTCTACTACTATCCTACTATCGTAATATCGCAATCTACTACTCTCCGGCGATTTCAATCGATACGTATCTAATCTTGTCAGCGCAATCTCCTACTCTACTACTATCCTAATCTCCCCGTCAATACATATGTTTTTCATTGTCGCGTACTATCCTAATCTCCGGAGTCGCGAACTATGAACGCGGCCTTATGATGCGGTTGATCTCCCACCGCAGGGAACTACCTTCAATGTCTGCGATTTTGTCAGATACTGTTTACAAGTCAGATTTGTACAGTGAAGCCTTGGTCTTTGTTCTTCTTCGCTTTTTCGTTCTTAGTAGAGTCCCCAGCTTAATTTTTGATAGTCTGCTTTCAGGGTAGCTTTCGCATTCGAACGTCGTTTCACTGTACTATAACCAAAAGACCATGGATCGCCTTGATCCCAATCTCAATATTTTCAAAACTGAAATGACAATTTTTCCATTGGAGTTACCGTCAGAATCGGGGCAGACTACAGCTCAGCCGCCAAGTAACGCAAGTAAGTCACTGCTTTTATTCGTTCTTTTTTACACGTTCTTTTTTTGCTTATGATGACATGATGAACGCGTGGGAGCAGTTTATGAGGGGTGCGGCCAGAAAAGGCCGCGGTTGCGCGCGCGCCAAAATTTGCGTCATTTTATGCGAGCCGATGTTTGGTCAATTTCCCCTGTCGTCTGTGCTCTCTTGCCCAAATAGTGACTCGGCGCATTAACATTGGAGCTGCGGGTGGATGATATGTAGTCAAAGCGGGACAGATTACTATAAAAGGGAACTCTGCGCTTTGAACAGGGGTGCAGAACGTCCCGAGTTCTGGCGCGCGCGTATTTTTCATTACCTTGAAATTTTTGTGTTTGGAATGAAGAGGGGCAGCCAATGGAGGGAGCATGTTTGTCCCCCCCCCGCGCCAAGATCTTACGTCTCTGCTTCACTTGGAACTTGATGTCGGGAAGAATGATGGTGGTGTTAGTAGAAATTCCACAGTCTAAATGTTTTGTATTGAAAAGATAGTAAATATCCCCATGGATAATGCTGACATCCATCTTAAACATCTTTATCCTGAGGTTGGGAATCAGTGCGCAGCTTTAACGCTATATCCTCTTAACGGTTTGATTTGGCTGGTGTTAGAGTCGTAGGTTTCGCGCGATTCGCGCGACGGATCGCACAAATCACAAGTGCCCGATCAATACTGCAAGGTGCTCTTCGCCGCCATTTCTGCTTGATGGTGATGGCTGAATGACGACTGTTCATGATTCTACTTGTTTCATATTCAGTGTTTCAAATGTTCAAATGGGGCACTTGATTTGCGATTTGCGCGAATCGCGCGTTCGCGCGAAACGTGCGACGGATCGCGGACTCTGACACCAACCTTAGCGCACTTCTCAGAATATGTGGAGACACTGCAGCACCCGTACTGGGGTGGACCCTGTGGCACGATCCTTTAGACGATCCCTTCGCATGACAACGTCACGCTGCAGTTTAAAACCCACACCTATTTCCTTGTTGTTATGAAGTATGTGAAGAGTTCGATAAGGTGGTCTATTTGAATAATTAGTGAACATTTAGTGTAACTATGGAGGGGAAGGGAGCTCTAGAGTTATTGAACTACTCCGCTTGTGTGGTGCTCCGACCGAAGCCCCCCCCATCTCGATCGCCATCACCCTCACACTAATTCACGTAGACCCGCTAAATATTTCGAGCTACTGTTGTGCCATTTTTTCAGGTTTGGTGCAAGAAGAAATAGCTTATACTCAGGTAAGTGGGCTTCCTCATGTTTTTCATAGGGTCCTATTGAATTGTTAGGTTTCATTTGCATCCACTTTCCAGGAACTAGTGGAAGACTTGCGTAGATCTGCTTCCCTGCTCGCGTCGATTATTTCTCTTCGTCACATGATGTATAACTCACTCAAAACGGTTACCGAAACTCGAAACCTTTTTATTCAAAACTATAGTGAGCTATTTGATGTTCTTTTTTTTAATTCTCTTCGTGGTCAGTTAATAAGGACCCCGTGATTTTTTCACACTTGAAGGCGTGGCCGGGACGAGCGCGGACGAGTCGACAGTGGTTCCGCTGTTACGGGCGGCTGCGTCATGGGCGCGTGCGGGAGCACTACCAAGTCGTCCGCGCTCGACGGAGCCGCGCCTTAAATTGTGAAAAAGTCACGAAGTCGTTAGTAGGGTTGCTCAGAAAAATGGTAACTGTGTTGATTTACCGAGCGCTCATCCTTTTCTTCGCTAATTGTTTTGGAAAAACCCTGTCATCAAGTCATCTCGATGCTAATCAACAGTAAGAACCCCAAACCTCGTTTAGGTTGAAATTTTGCTGAAGTTTTGTGTATGGGGTTTTAGTTTCAGGATCGTGAATATTATTATTCATTTATGGCGCTAAAGCCGTTTGGTGCCTACCCGGCACCAAATTGCTGTCAAATGGTACCAAGCTGGCGCCAAATGACTCTGACGCCCAAAATGAATGTCGTCCCTGTGCGTAAACTCTGTGACTTTGGTGAAATGTTTACCAATCTCCGTAAAATGGCACTAAACAGCTATGAAACAGCCATACCTGTAAGCAGGGCACGTGTAGTCTTCATAGGTGAAGTTTTGACGCTACAGCCGCGACGCAAGTCGCGTAGCTGGTTGTCTGCAGTTGAGGCCAGCCGATTAGCTTCTGCTGGGACTGCGGATAATACATTTTTTCTTATAGTTATTTTTCACTCTGATGACCACACTGTTCCTGATCATTTTTTAAGTGTTCTGTCAATTATTGTTTCCAATACACAGCTGTTCAGAGAAGATGCAGTCCGAAGGCTACAATCCACCTATCGAAGAGATTTCATTTTTGAATGTGGTGGACAAACAACTTCATGTCTATGTGACACTTGCGCATTTGTCCAAAGAGAGAGATCTGAATCTCGTCCGTTCTATTGTGAGAATGAAAATGCCAGTAAGTGGTTGTAATTTTTATTCAGCAGGTTATTGTTGAAAATTGATTTCCAAGCAAGCCAAAGTTGACAACTTGGTACGGTTATAGGATTTATTTAGAGCACTGCAACGTTCTTGAGCGGGAGCGGGCATAATTAATTGCCTAAGCTGGTGTCAGAGTCCGCGATCGATCGCGCGGATCGCGCGATTATCACAAAGAAGTGCCCCGATCAATACTGCGAGGTGCTCTCCAATCCCGCCGCCATTTCTGCTTGATGGTGATGGTTGAATGACGACTGTTCATGATTCTACTTGTTTCATATTCAGTGTTTCAAATGTTCAAATGGGGCACTTGCGATTTTTGCGATTCGCGCGATTCGGCGACAAATTGCGGACTACGACACCAGCATTATGTAGCAAATTTCACACGGTTTTCCTCGCAGTTCCATATCCCTATAATGTTCCAACCTACGTCCCCCACCCTTCCCTGTCCCCTTTGAGGCAAATGAACTTCATGCAGGCATGCGTATTTGTTTATGAATTTTAAGAATCGTTGGGCCGGCGACTCCGAAGAGACGGCAACAGTTGTACAGCGGGGGGGGGGGGGGGCAATAAAAAAGACATTTTGTCTCCAGACTCAAATGGATTTAATCACACTTTGCTCAGCTCAAAGCGTGTGCTCCCAACTTAGAATTGAAGAGCGCATTTCATTTCATAAGAAAATCTTCATAGTGGCCATCTACGTGGACGGCATCAGGAAAATTTGCCCCGGAAACATGGTGCTCTGGGTCGAGCTCAATGGG